TTAAGGACTTTTACTATTTGCTGACATAATGCTAGATTTTTTTCGTCACATACATATATGTTGCCGTTTCCCGTAGCGCAAGTGTGTGCTCAAATTTATTCTCGCCAGCGCGTGCACAAGTGTAACTGACAAATGTTTACCCATTCATTCTTGCTTGTTTACTCTTTTGCATATACACTTCCTGCCATTGCGGCTTAATTTTTACACCATAGTACTTTACCATGCCACACTTCTAGTCGATATATACTAAACATCCATTTGATATCTCTCTTTTTGGCGTTTTAACAAGCGCAGCGACTAAGAATGCTTTATGCTTTCTCGATGCTAAAGCCTACCACACTGAAGTAACGTCTGGCCAAAGTGGGTAGCCACTTAACTTATTTGTAAAATTTCGAGATTTGTGGCAGGCTAACAGGCGTTGTTGTGTAGTACTTACATACATTTGTTTTAATGCGTTGTTGTTGTTGTTATTGTAGCGGCGTTAGTGCGTTCGTGTGTTTTGCTATGCATTTGAACTTACAAGTTCTATGTTCTTGGCTTGCTGTTTTTATTGACATGCTGATATATTTGGGTAAATTTATAGTTATAATCGGCTTTAATGAATGCTAAGTAAGAAATATAAAATGTGTTCCACTTAAGTTCACTAAGTGACAATTAGTTAGGCTTGCGTGCAATTATTTCCTTTTAGCGTATTAAAAAAAAAAAAATTTCCTTGAATAGTTTCGTATGGTGCTTTTCGACTAGTCGACTAATCGATTAGAAAATGTTGTTTCAAAAAATAATCGACTTCACTTGATCGATTAAGCATTTCCGCTCGCCTTTTTCAACTAAAGGCTCACAAACAACTATCCTACTATCCGTTCATTTTCGATTTTCAGACTAGTTGTTTTCTTTCAGTAAACTTTGTTTTTTTATATTTTTTGAATACTTACGCCTAAATATTGACAAAACCCAATCGTGCTAATAACAATAATTTTATGGTGGAAACTGTCACTATTCGATGAATTTCGGTTAGTCGATTTTTAGACTACTCGATAGTGAGCGAATTCAAGCAGTTAACCGAATAATTGCCATTCGACTATCCACCGACAAGAAAAGTTGCTAATCGACTTAGCTCTAATCTTGAATTTCCTCTTATGGAATTAATAAGACTATCCCTAGAAAGAAAAATAATTTTCTCGTATAGGGGGGGAGGGGGCGGGTTTGCGGCGGGCCTGGGGCGCACGTTTTCTTATCGAAATTTGCAACTAGGGCTACCTGAGGAGAGCGTGCATTATTTCTTTCTCTGAGTACCGGCTAACAGATCAAGTCTTGTATAGACGACATTGCACTCAACAGCATTATGAATCATTTCCAGACCGTAGGCGAAGTTCAAAAAACATTTTTGTAAAAAAAATTAGACGATGAAAAAGGGTAAATGCCGCTAAGTGTTACACTTCAGAAAAAATTAATTTCTACATTTTGTTTTGCTTTTTGTTTTTTGCTAAAATTTTACTGACAAACTTGGGCATTAAAAAATAATCGTGTTATTACGTTCAGAAAATAGTCATTAGGTTTATTCCACATGGCATTTTTTAAATGGCAAACATTTTTTGTCATTTTAGTGTCTATTGGAAATTCGGCATAACAATTTTTTTGAGCTTGAGGTAGAGTTGTCAAACTATCGATGGCACTACTCATTGATAGTTTTTTCTTATACTATCAAAAATATCGATAGTTTAGTAAGACTATCGAACTATTGTTGGTAATACCTGAATTTTTTAATTTGAATTAAAAATTTTGTTTTTTAGTGTGATGCCGACGTCATATTCAAATATGCACGCATTTAGCCCAAAATACATACATATGTTAATCGTAAATCCTGTTTTGTTTGTATAACTTGTGTTTGTTTTTGAATTTCTAAAAATAAGAAGTATTTTGGCTTAGCAGTTACTTAATTTTGAATGATTATAACTTTTATAAGATAATATTTATTTCACTATGACCTGTAAAACAAAGCAACCTAACTGATTTAGCGCTATCGATAGTGCTATCGATAGTTTTTTTTTGAGACTATCGTGAATATTGATAGTTTTTCTGAAAACTATCAAAACTATCGATGGTGTGTATATCGATAGTTTGACACCTCTAGCTTGAGGGTGTTTCCAATGAAAAGTGTTGTGGAAATACAACAAGAATTTACACCTGGTAGAAGTTATAGTTGCTATTTCGATGAGCACCTCATCTGCTCACTAGATTTTTTCAACGAATTCACTGGGACTTCAACTAGCAACTCTGGCGTTGTTTTGCTCTAAAAAATAACTATCAATAACTTGGACTGAATAAAAAGCAATTTGATGATGAGGATTAGACCCATATCAAGCTATTAAAATTTATAGCTTAAAATACAGCAAAAAACCCAACGCATGCAAAGAGAACGAAGAGTTCGGCTTAAGCCGCTTTTCCACAATACAAGTAAAGAGAAAGTCACAAACAAAAACCATTTGCAAATCAGCTTTCAATGTATCTGTAAGTTAAATACCCCGATGACTATATCCAGAGTGCGATAGTCATATAAAGTAAAAACGTGTTTTAAAAAGTAAGTTCTACTGAACCAACATTTTTAAAGGGGGAAATAAAGATATGCGTATATAGTACATATGTACTCACATATATGTACATATAAGCTTAAATACAACTTTTATATCTACTCATAAAACAATAGATACAATGGCCAGAAAAATGCAGATTCCTCTAATTCACCAGAATATGATTGTCTGAAGGAATTTGCCAGATATTTGGTATTCTAAAAGATATGTACATATGCTCGATTGACTGATTGTATGGCATTCAACCAAAGCGAGCGTGGCGTATGAGTGATGTGCTTATGCGTACATACATACATATGAACATATATACACACATATGTATGTATAACATGTAGTGTAGAATTTAAACCAGAAGGAAACCAAAGTTTTTTTTTTAAATGATTTTGAGTTTTGTGCTCGTTTGCAGACTAAATGATGTGAGTTTTATACATACATATGTACACACATATATACGTATATTCCTAGTACTGATGCACACAACTTTTATTGATTGCACTTGTTCAGCAGAAAGGAAAATTCATTCGAAGAAATACATATTTGGGGTATTTGTGGACCTCATCTCAATCGATTGCTTAAAATTCAGATTGAATGTTTTGCGTATTCAAGTGTGGCAGCAATCTTAGCAAGCGAATTTAGTTAAAGGAAAATATTTTTTATTTCTATTCTTATACGTTTTTGAAATTTGTGTAAGAAATTAGTAAGTTTTTGTTATAACAATAATTGTCTAATTTAAAAAATACTTAGTTATTAAAGTCGAACTTTTCCTCATAAATATATGAACATAAGTTTCGGTAAAGATATCGATAAAGGGAGAATCACATATGTATGTATATGTTTGTTTATCCTTCTAATCGGACTGATTTTTGTATTCAAATCTTGAATTTTGAATAATTACGGCTCATGGTTTCCGTAAATGTCCCTACGTCCCGGCACCTCTGTTACGGTAATTTCGTATTGATTAGAAAGCGAGGCCAGCTCTCTTCTACAGCTACTAGCATTCCATCTTTGACCTATCCGTAAATACAGTTAAGCCCCGCAAGAACTGGACCTTTCTTTGAGTCCAGTCACTGCGGCTTGGGAATTTCGTGACGGGTTTGTGGTGAACCCAGGTCTTCGGCTAGATTTAGCTGGTGAGCAGCGCTTTGATATCAGGCGATGACCTTTGAATTTCGCTTCGTTTTTTAACAACGTAATCGTTAGTAAGAGCTGGCCACTAGTTCCGTTCCCCGGAACCTTGTTTTAATAAATTTAGGAAATTTTGTTCTATTTGGAAAAATCACACGGTCAGTTTTTTCAGAGTTTACGCTAAGAGAACAATTTATGGCACAGGAATCTACTACGTTTCGATAAATCCATAATTTGACTTATGACCGAAATAAATTGACCCGATACCTGTAATGCTAAATCGATGGCGTAAGCCGCTGACATAATTCTCTGAGAGTCTAGCTAAGTATATGTTACTTTCAAATTTGTTTGCTTTCGACTACGAAAATATTCCCCGCCCCACGGTGTAAGATTTGACTCATCTCGCTGCTTTTAATTCTGTAATTCGAAAACTATTGAAGATTGATTAATGAAATTTTGCACAAGGTACGTTATCAGATTGGCGAAGCTTGGTCATTTTGAGGTGCTGAAATGCACAATATTTATATTAAAAATTTCCTTACAACAATGAATTATAAACTGACAGAAATGGACTTAAAAATAATTTTCATTTCTTGCAGTTTCTATATAAAATTCAAAAAATTAAGATAATTTTTCACTTAAATTGCTTTCGTGAAGTTGGCTGTTTAAGTTTTAAAATTAATTGGTGAGACTGGAGATCAGTATTTGTTTGTAAGATTTAATAAGTAATTTTTAGTTCCTCCAAGTGAGATGCAATAAATAAAATTGAAACGATTGAAAAAATATATGCTTTGCAATCCGGGTTGGCAAATTTTAGTTTGAAGTTTTCATAGTTCCTCCTGCGTTACAATTTTCAAAAATCGAGAAACAAACCTACGTGTTTTTGTAAATTTAACCACATAAATATGTATATGTACATATTACAGACCTTTCACGAGCAAAGTAAACGAACCCTTTTTTGCTCAAAGTTGTCTATATTAATTACGATAGCTATGCAGTTTTCCTTAAGCTTAGCAATTAGTTAATTATTTCATGCTAGACGCCAACTTGTGCGCCGCTACTTAAACAATAAATTTCGATACTTAGATTACGAGTATTTATCATCGATTTACCGCAAGTTGACGCATAATAAAATTTTGCCATAATTACTTTACTTTACTTATTAATAACTTTGTATGTATGTAGGTATAAGTATCACTTAAACAATAGCTCCTTAGCGTGATGCCAACAGCAGCACGTGGATTCATCTGCCGACCGGATGCCAACGACGCCGCCGACCACGCGTACCACGCGTTCTATACTGCCACAGCAAGAGTAACTGCTCCGAAATGGTGCGCAAGATTTTCAGTTCAATTGTAGTCGCAGCGATGAGCAATGTTACATTGACGCTTAGCGCCATCGACGAGGCTGACGAGCCGAGATTGCCCTTCGTCAGCTGATCATGACAGCGGCCGATCGAGTCAATGTCAAGTTCGGCCATAGCGCGACCATTCACATCCAATGGCGAAATGCAATAGTTCTTCTGCAGAAATTCGCTAAGATTATGCGCACCCTCGACCAGTGGACCATCGAGCAGCGTGTGTATATGGCAGCCGCAGGGAAAGTGATTATTCACCAACTCTAGTTGTGCAACGCCATCGATGAAAATCGAATTGGGATCGGGTGTTTCCAGCACATGATTGCCAAGGAATTTGAGCAGCTTAATATCCGCTGTGTAGGTGAAGTTCAACTCCTCAATCTGATCGATTTTGTTGTTGAGTATTTGCAATTTGTCGACTTGCGCCAGTCCTGTGAAAGCATCCGCGCATATAATGCCCAAATCGGACTCCTGCAGCGTAAGCAACAGCACATTCGTCAGACCGCGGAAGGTGTACGGCGCTAGCTCCTTCAAATCCATATAGGCAAGCTTTAGTAGCCCCACTGTGTCCATGCCCAAGAAGGCATCCGGCTCAATGGTACGTATGCCCGATGGCAATATCAGGTGACCGACATTGGTTAGGCTTGAGAAGGCCGAGCTGTCGATGCGTATGAGTGGATTGTTCGTGAGTAAAATTAGCTTGACATTCGAAGTGCCCGCGAAGGCGTTGGCCTCGATGGTTGCAATTTGATTGTGACTCAGCAAGATGGTGGAGAGATTCTGCAGACCGGCGAAGGCGAATTGGGCAACCGTCTGCAATGGCGTATACTGGATGGAAAGCTCCTTGAGACGCGGCAGTCCGCGGAAGGCAAACTGTTTGACGCGTGTGATATTATTGCCGTCCAGCGAAAGCTTCTTGAGCGCACGCAAGCCGGCAAACGAATCCGGTTTTATGACTGGGAAATTGTTTTTCGTTAATGCGAGATTCTCGACGGTCGAGGGTAATTGCCGCAATGGAATCTGCTCCAGGCCGCCAGTGTTACACAGCACCTGCGGGAGTACAGAGAGAGAGAGAGAGAAAGCGAGATGTGGCATTAGAGTGGCGAGCACAAATACGAACAGCAACATAAAAAAAATATAAAGAATACTAAAACAAATAGAAAAGAAAAACAGGGGAAAAAACCTCTGACTGCGCCCTGGGGAGTAGCGCATTCATTGCTTTCGGCAAGCTAAGGTGTGAACTGCCGCGGCAATCGAGCCAACGCGATTATGGTTTTTTCGTGCGTAGCATCACTCCCAGCCACAAACGCGGTTTGTACTTCGATATACCTCCCGGCGCTTAATTGTCTGTTTGTCTACTTGTCGGTACGTCTGTGCCTCTGCCTATCAGGCTATTCTCATCTTAATGCTTCTATTCATGTTTATATTTTTTGTTTACACAATTCCTATTTCTCTTCTCGCTGCTTTGTTTTTATTTCGCTTCTTGCTTCGTTTTGCATTACACGCTTTAGTGGCACTTTATGGCGCCAAATGTGTTCGTGGGTAAATTGAATATGCACCATTATTGCTGCAAATTAAATTAAATCGACCCGCATCGCTCGCTCCGCTGCCTTACGTCAGCTTTAGGCGGAAAATAATTTTTACTTGACGCACCTCCCTGCCTGCACCCAGTTGCTAGTTCGTAGCTCGCAAGTACACACATATGCACAAATGTCTGTTTGTACCTCTGTTGAAGTGCGTCTGTGCCGGCCTCAAACGGCGGCGAGTCGAGCTATGTGGCTTGGAGCAGCAGTCAGCCAACTAACTGCTCGTGGAAGTGCCAAATCATGAGCGCCATTAAATACGCGTGATTTTTGACTGATTTCCTTTTCAACTTATTCAAATGAAATTGAATTAAATTAGACACGCATGCCAGCGACTGGGCGGGGAGATGGAGGCGAGTGATGTTAGCAGTACTTGACTTATCGCATTGCGGGTTTCGAATGAATATTAAGCGAACTTTTATTGCTGATTTACATTTGCTTTTATTGTTAATTTTGATGAACTTATGTTTAAATTAGTACAAAAGTGAAAAAAAGCAGGTTGACAAAAGTTTTTCTTTGTAGTGGTGGTGGTCGTTGGAGCTACTGGAAGATGAATTTTAAGTTCCGTTATGAATAATTCTGCTAATATTTGCTTGTAAGTTATTGGTCGATATACGAGTAGAGAACTAAATTCGCTAGTAGTTTATTTCCTTACCGGTATAATGCCAGTTATTTCGCTCAAATGAAGGCTAGTTACTCTGAGAAGCTTTATATCCTTTTTATGCTAACGCAATGACTTAAAAACCATATAGACTTTGGGAGTTAAAGTTCTTTGCTTCGACCACACATTCTTCGAGTCATTTCTATTAACCTTATAAGAGTCACACCCAAAGGGAGTTGACCTTGCTTATACTGAATATGGGGATTTTAGCGGAGTCAGCTGACTGTAATAAGTCCTGCGCAGAAAACTGATGCCTATATCCCCGCTACAATACTTTCCGCCATACTCCAAACCAACGAAAGAGAGTAACATTTCGAATAAAAAGCCAGCTGCACAGCTCTAAAGAAAACTAATTTTAGTATTTCACGGAATGTGAGCAAAAGCTGCGATCGGCTGAGTGGAGGTAGACGAAAACGCCTCAAACCCTACATGAAAAAGTGCCATGCAACAAGCGTGAGGATCGACTAAACCGTCTTAGAGGGAGAAACAGGGCGGAGTCCCGATGAAATTTCTCATACCAAGCAACGGTTAAGCAGGAAACCTCCAGTTGAAACTGAAACTGTGCCTTCGGCTTAGGTTAGATCGTGTAGCCATTATCCTTCAAGAGTGAACTGTACAAGGTTCAGCTGGCTATAGCTACCCAAAGTTAACCAGCTACTTTTTGGCCGACGGATGAGACGTTCAAAACTCCATCCATACAGCGCTCAGTAAGAATCCGAATGGCATTGTAAAGTCTTTCTTTGAATAGCTATAGTTAAACATTTTGCCACCTGGAATCCCCATTCCAGATGGGGATGGCGGGGCATATGAAGATACCCAAATGCACTATCTTTGTCGACTTTTTAACGGTTTTTTTTTTGAGCTAGGCAGCTACTTGAACGATAAGATGTTTGACGAAAGAAGTAAGGCATGGATGCTACCAACTACGACAGCAAAAAACCTCAAACAGCCAGTTAAGCTGCCCAAAGCAATTCACCATCACTACTTCTATACGCAAAGGCAACGGAAATGGTACGATAGCCGAAGAAGTGGCCTTGCTGGATAGCAATGGAGGGTAGAAACTAACTACTCGTGTCCTATAAAATTGCACGTAATAAAATCACTTCCTAAGTTCCAACACAGCACGAGGCATCTGAAATATCTTCCGCTGCATCTTCACCACGCCAAAACAGCGTCCGGTGTACTGTGCAGAAGGTTCATTAAAAGAGCTTAGGCCACCACTCATCTAGGAACCCTGAACTGAATACCGCCGTCATTATTAAGCAATAGGCCGACATTTATTCCCTTTTTACAGTTCAAGATAGCAATCTGATTGCAGTATAAGCCGACACTTCTACTTTAAGAGGTGTGGAAGAGCCATTACGTGTCTATGCGTACTTTCCGGGTGGGATGGTTTCTTGATGGGACAGGAAGTTTGGCTAAAAAATATGCGAGATTAGATAACTATTCAATAGGGCAAGGACTATTGGTGAATGGCGGAAACTTGAACCTTGATTCAGCCACCGATTAGAATAATATCCTTTATCCTAAATGGCATGCAGAAAATCTTGGAGGCACACTTCAGAGAAGTCATCCACAGTGCATTGAGTCTGCCATTCATAGACTCATTTAAAAAATTTAGGAGATCATGGAGTCCAAAGCAAAGCAGAAACAACGGAAATCATGAACAACTTCGTACACAAAATATTTAATAGGCATCTGATCAATAAAATTCCTTAATTTAAGCAGAGGTGAGCTCAAATGCAAAGAAAATTATAGTGATTTTGTTATAAAACAGAACTACCCATATTTTCGGTGCCCTTTGATTTTACTTTGTTAAAGCACATAAGTGTCCAGTCAACTAAAATTAAAATTTACTACTAACACAGCCAGTTATGTATGTCCATTATATTTTTTTGCAGCATCTTAAATTTTACACTTCAGTGCCATTTTTCTAACAATTTTATGATAACAATAATTGCAAATTTCATGTCGCGTCCTCATTGTTGAAAATAAAGTAGCTGCCACAATGAAAATGCAAAAGAAAAAAAAACAGATATAAATTAGGCAGCCGACTGTGAGCTAAAGCTGCGCACTACACAGTTCCCAAACCTAATCGGAATCAGCATTGAAGTTTAGCACAGCAGCATACTTTGGCTTCCCTGCGGGGAATTGATTATGTATGTATATAATAGAATGTCGCAAAGGGCTGGAAGCGAGCGAAAATTGTGCGATAGTTTTGGAATGAGAAATGCGCGTTTCATTTTTTTTTTGTGGAGTACAAGCAGAACAATCAATGGCAGCAGTCGCACTAAGCGAGTGGGATGATCTGAATTTCATTGCATACACAAATCACTAATCTGGAATAATGAAATTGCTTCAATTTACCAGCAATTCGTAAGTGAACGCATTGAGTTCGCGCTGAAGTCGCGGACGACGCAGCGATAGATATATTTTGCAAAATATTTGTTTGTCTACGTGGCGTGTGCATTTGTGGGAAAATGAATGTCAGCGACTTACCAGACAACACAATGACTAGAGAAGTTGACTGGAGAAGTTGCCATTGGAGACGCACAATGGTGGGTATTGTTGTGCGCTCTCCAAGGCAGCAGCAGCATTGTCATGAAGCAAAAAATGTGGGAATGACAGAAAAATGGGCAAAGTAAAAAAATTAAACCATCAAACTACTTGAAGTGGGTAAGTTAAACCGCGGAAATATGCATTTTCTCATTGCAATGGCTAAAGCCGAAAAATCATAAAAATCTAATAAAAAACATGAATGATAATAACAAAAGAATATGCCGAGTCAAGAAAGTGCGCTTTGGTTTCAGGTACGAACTATAAGGAGATAACTCTATTTCCAACTTCTCCTAAAATCGCTCACTAGACGATTTGTGTTACAAGACAGGAGTATATGCACTGGCACATGGAAAACCATGTGCCACAATGGAGTGGAAATATGGATTTTGGAATGCTATAAGTGGATTATAAAGAAAGTTTTTTTTCGACCTAAAGTCTGCTAAAGAGTGGACAAAATATTGCTGGGCGCAGCGCTGCCTTAGTCTACTCTAAGCTGGGATTCGTCTCAACAACAGCGGCAATGGTGACTCGCTGGAAAGCCCTTACTGTGTCTAGTTGGGGCTGCTCTCTACCGCAGATACATGTGAATCAAGAATCTGTATTAAGTCAAAATCCGATTGGGGGAGATATCAGCGTTGCAGTAAGGGGCTATTATCGCAAATGAACTATGTATATGCCTTCTATAGCTGTGCCGGAAGCTCTCCTTAGTAAATTTTCATGGCCTTGAGTTCGCGGGGAACCTGCTATTTAATTTATAAGATATTGACTTAAGACTCTGACCGTGAAAATTCAGTCCCCGGGCCAAGTTTTTCAAAGCTTTCTGTAAATTTTATATGCGCGCAGATAGGGTAAAAGCTCGCTATGTTCGTCATTCGTTCGTTTTCTGATTGCTAACCGATTATCACTGGTATTTTGTTGTACTTAATAATGTCTACGAAACTTATGTATTAACTTTTGTTGTTTTACAGATGTTTTTATTATAATATTTTTTACCGCCATTGCTTTCTGTGTTAATTACGGGTTTACAATTTTCTTTTTTTTTTTACTCAGCGCTTCAGTTTTGCATGTCTGAAATAATGAATTTACTGTTGTGGCATGTTTCTGCCTGCTTTTGACACCACTCGAACCGCTATCATTGCACTGCCGCTAGTTTTTTCTTTACACAAATTTCCTCTACTCTTTAATTCTCTGTTCTTGCTATTATTAGTCTTATGTACAATAGTATCATTGTTGTTGCTCTTGTTTTTTCTGTTAGTTCATTTTATTTTGTGTGCCGCTGGTTACACTTCTAGTTGTTGTATTTCGTCTTGACTGCTTTGTCCACCTAAACAATTCCACTTGGAGTTGATGTTAATGCCTTCGCTGGTTTTACTCAGTTTTAATACAACCTTTTGACCGCACTGTGGTTTGCTTTCGGGAACATTGTAAATAAACATGTTTCAGTACAGATATGGAATATGTAAAAGAAGATTTTGTTTGTAACAATCTCACGGGAGTAGAAAATCCGCTATTATTTTCTGTGGTAGAGGAACCCATTATGGTGATATTGATAGCTTCTTTAATGTTATTCAGCAAACTAGCAAATACAGCAAACTTAAGCTCTATCAAGCTATAACTAGATTCCCTACATGGAAATTTGGTTAGCCTTGAGATCTTTGCGCATACTTTTCTTTCGTTCGGGAACAGGCATTACAGCTGTTTGTAGAACTCTGGAAATTAGTACTGGCAAAGATCTGATAACCGAACTGGATATCTTGCGAAGAAAAGGGAGAGTAAATGCCCAATTGCACACCATATTAATTTTCAATTTCATTTTCTTGGTGGAGAGCTTCGTATCACTAAAATTCAGACCGTATGAAAACTTTGAGCAGCTATCACTGATTATATGTACATTGAATGCATACAGGCAGGTGGAAGGAAGTTAATACCAAATGCCGCCTGATGAGATCACAGCGGATATAACAACTGGCATATCTACAAAAAATTGCACTAACTAGTTCATTCGAACACTTATTCGAGGTTGAACAAACGCCTGGATACTCCATTTATAAACTTGAGATTCTTTATACCTTAGATTCCCGTAAAATAAAGGATGGACAAAGGCCATGCTTTCACCTTAGATAGAGTTTGTATGGTGCATAGAATCTGACTATCAGATCATGGAGTGGAGCTTACTCCCGTTCTTAAAGTTCACTTCCACCAAACAAGTTACTGAAGCTCTGACGTCTTTGTAGACGATGATGATATACCAATCATCAGTAAAGTAAAAATCTCTTTGGGATTACTCTACGGGGCGTTTTACGGCTGAGATCCATGCCATTCACATAGTCGCAAAGTCGGTTAAAATTGTAGATCACGCTGTTTAGATTATCGCCCTAATCAAAGTGCGATCGTTATTCTATTCTCAGTTTCAGGTGTAGCGAGTACACGGGAAAAATATTTTGAGAAAAAACCCGGTTAACCTGGGTACAAGAATATTATAGTACCCTATTGAAGTAGATCAGAGTTGACACCAACAGCGGGTGAAGCAACTTGGCTTGATTAATGAACAGCTCGCTGAGGCTTACTAAACCGAACAAACTGCTTTTCAAAGGGAGTTTGAACTGGCCATTAGAAGAGTCCCGCATAATGATTTATAAGGAAGTGTCGACATAGAAGGATGGTATATAGATTTAAGAGCGACTCTTTCTTAGTTTTAAAATTTATTTATTTGTGGAAAGCATAGGTTTGCCAAAAAATTTCGTTGATTTAAGAGGAATATCCCTCTGAGTCGCTGGGTTTCTGTAGTCATTTTTAATCAATCTTAAGCACTTTTCCTTTGAATTCTTTATCATAAAAAAATCTAATAGAAATATAAATAAATATGTACTTCTAAGAAACAGAAATATGTAGCTTATTATGTTCGACCATCTACATACATATATAGCGAGGTATAATGAGACAATTTTAGAATATTCCTATAGTTGTTAACAAAAAGCAGGAAGGGCAGGCAAATAGGTCCTAACGACCATAGTCTCTATTCTCCTGAGAAACCACCTTAGCATATCTGAAGGTTTCTGCCTTCAGTGTTTGTACAGACGTTAATCTGCAGAGACCTTTAAAAGGAGCTGGATCCAATGACTCCTCTCATTACGGTGATATGTGGCAGAAACTTCATTGCACATCATTTTAGAACTCGATGCGGTCACTGGGAGAAAACAAACATATCTGAGGGAGCTGTAGCCAGAGACTGTTCTCGACACTATTGCTTACCTCTTCATCTGGACAGTTACAGAAGAAGTCGGTCATTCGAAAACTCATTTTTCCTTCATGTATTGCTATTAGGAAATTGCAAAATCCATCCTGAGTTTAAGACCTTACAGGAGGCGCTTATAGCATATATTAATTGTCGAGTCTGGACGAGATTTGTCGTACTTCCCAATAAGTTGGTTCTCTTATGCATCTTCTGTGCGTCAATTGGAAAAGTGTCTGTGTCTTATGCAACTGCTTCATGGGAGGTACTTGTGGTGGAAAGTTCCTCGAAGTATATACCACTATACCCGTCGAAATATATGACAAATAGAGCAATCTTTCCATACCGTATCTTCTTCCCATTGATTCCTTACAGAAATCTGTGTGATAAAGCCATTTCCAAAACTAGAGGTCGTCTTGTTTGGGGACTTCGATTTAACAGGACAGATGCCTAGAATTTTCGACTGACCAAATCTTTTACCATAGAGATCTGTATGACTGCATGACGACTTGCCTCTAGTTTACCGTAAAGATTCATGGGGAAGAGATTAAGCACAAACTCAAGAGCCTTGGTGGGAATGTAGGAGCATATATGCCACCCTATTCGATGAAGCAGTGATGGCCTACCTGAATTTTCTGCAGAATTGCGTTTCCCAGTGAGTCTCCTTTTCAAAATGATGTTCAGGTATCAAATTGCGTCCGCCAGTGGCAGTCTGATCCCATTTAATGAAAGAAGCTGAAATCGAGGAATTTTGCTTTTGTAAGAGAAGAGAACGATTAGCGTCTTAGCAAGATTGGATTTGAAATCCACTTTTGCATTTGTCCACATTTTGGGGATGGAGGACAGATTTCGGCAATCCTAATAGATTTTTGTCAAAATAGGGACCCAAATAGCCATACACTGATTGAAGCTCAGCGGGAAAGAGGTTTCATGGGGCAGATGGTATAAATGAAAGCCCAAATATTTGTCAATAATTTGATCGAGCTTCTACTGCGATTTATGCAGTGCGTCTTGATGTTATAACACAAGCGGAGGGTCCTACAATTTTACACCGTCTCCGAGCATTAAATCGTTTCTTTTGAGAAGTTTTTCATGGCAGTGGTACGCTCGTGGATTGGCCATAGCCTGCCGAAGGCTATCAACCTAGGACATACCGAATAGTAACTAGTACGCAACTTTAGTCTACCGGCCACGACAGCCGGAAGGTTTAACTGAAAAAATAGCACAAAAATTAAGTGAAATAAATAAATAAAATAAATACAACGAATCGAATCAAAATCACTGTGCAAATTTTTTATATTTTTATCTTATTTCTGTACCATTCTTCATTTCCACTTACTTGTGTCTGTGATAAGCAGATGCACTCGGCTGGACATGATTTCGATGTTTCGGACAGCTGCGAATTCCATAAGCATTCCAGTGTAATCGCAATTATGAGGAGCCAAGAATTGCACATTTCACGGAGTGTTGAGCACGGAATGGCGCGCCGGCACGTGCTGCTCTACAGTGTGTATTTATATGTACTATGTATGTAAGTATGTATGCGAGTTATAAACAACGATGGAATTTTGTAACTAGGCCTGTCCAAGTACATATGTAAGTATATTCGTACGTAGGCAGCAAATAAGCTGACACTGATTACAACCACTGAGGGACTGCCAGTGCAAGTTTCGCCAGCAGCGCCCTTCTCTTATGCCCACTTGCCTTCTGGAGTTTTTTTCCCCTCTCAACTACTTTTACTGGTATTCTGTTGCGTTTGTTGTAATGAGGACCTGCAATGCAATGGGAAGTAGAAAAAAGTAAAAAGTAAGACATAAATATAGTAAAAAGAAATAAGAAATTTGTATGTATGTACATATGTGGGATGTTTATAACGAGGGAATCCGGAGAAATAGCAGCAGATTGAATTATATGAAAATTCGCAAGAGGATTTTCATAATTTTTTCTCGAGTGGTTGGCCATTACTTCATCGTTTTTATGAAGCAACAAAGTGTACGAATAATTTTTGGTTATCACGCAATGCAAGGAAGCTGCAAGTAGCAGTAACTGCTGGCAACCGAAAATGCTGTAACATGAAAAAATGGGGAAAATAATAATAAAAATTGCCAAAAACACTGGTCAAAAACAATAGCAACCATTGTTGAAGTGTATAGTTATGGCATACCAAAATAGAGTATAGGGGTAAGCATTCGCAGGCGCACAGTGATGCCAAATTGGATTTTACTGTTCAAAGTAGTAGGGAGCCTTAATTTTTGAACCGACTTCATACATTTTTTTTTTGAAAGCTGATGAGATTTAGAAGCAATTTTTTTAATCCAATTTTTTATTTTTTTCGTTTATGGCCCATTCCACGTATGATTAGCATTATTCCCTGCTCATTTTTGATAAAAAAAAATCTTTGCGTATTTTCATCCTGATAAGATTCAGACAGGTCTTTGAAATTTTTATTTGTTTATATAAATTTTTTTAGGACAAAGTTCAGAGAAAGTAGAAGTTTTGAAGAAAATCGATTCTGCTCGTGAGAGCTATATAATAAAATTTGGTTGAAAACAATTATGGGGTACCCCCACAATCAAAAAACTGCACAAAAAAAATTGAAAATGTCACAAAAATTTTTCACCATAAATAAAAATGGTGTTTTAATTTTTATAAAAAAAAATTTATAAGCAGTTTTCTAGCACGTTTAATTTTTAATTAAATTTTAGTTTCAGTTGGCTAAGAATTCACGTTGATTTTTAATTTTTTTTTTTCTGACATTTCGAGCTCACTTTATAAGTGCCGACTTTACACATTTGATTAGTAAACACTTTGTTCCCTCTCTCTTCCTCGGTCTTTTAGGTATAGACAAATTTGTTTTCATTTCATTTATTGATATAAAATATAAAATTAGTACCTTAAGATCTAAATCTTGTAAAATCGATCTCTTTTCTTTAGCTTCCAGAAAAAAATTGCGGATATTTTCGACTAAAACAAAAAAACCTTGCTTGAAATTGTGGTATTTATGGCATTTTTAGGGCGTCTTTGAAGTCATGTTTGTATGTGAGGTTAGAGGTAAAGTAAAGTGGTGTTCACATGATGCGATTTTACAGACAATTAACAGGCCACCCAACTTCATCGGAAGCGATTAGTAGAAAGGCCCTTCGTACCAGGCGATTATTGCTTTAAAATAAAAGTTGCCTGTAGCATCGCCTCATGTAAACACTGTATAAGCCAACTGTGCGGCCTGCGACAAGACTCAGCCAGCAGAGATTTAATTAACGACACTTTGTTGCACACAATTCAGGGATTATGCTTTTGCCTCAGTTGCAGGCGTTTTTTCTGCTAAAATAATTGCTTCTGTTGCTTTGGAGTTTTTTGACATATTGGCTCGGTTATATTTGTGTGTGGTTTTTTTTATCTGCTAATTTGTAGTTTCTTTCCTATATTTCACGCCAACAACTCGGTGAGGTCTTCAATTTTCCAATGCGGCTCTTAATGATTACTCATTAAATTAAAAGTAAATACCAGTCGCGGAGAAGAAAACCGTTGAGCTTTATATATATTTAAATTGATTAAGCGTGTTTAGCAAAATATGTGAGTTCATTTTAAATAAATTTTAATTGGTTTAGGAAAATATTTATTTCAGTGAACTAGTTTACACCATGGTTGCTCCGAAGTCAAAAAAGAGGCTATTATTTAGGTTATCCTTTCATATCTTCAAAAAAATGGGATGTTAAAGATTTCTCCATTTGCTGCGGTTTCCTGCATACATTTAGTTTTTATGACATGTATAATACGTAAAGCCCTTTGCAGATGATACGGCTTGTCTAAATACTGGCCCATAACTCTTCGCTTTTTCAGGAATGTTTAATCCATACTGAATATGATTGCTACATTCCAAAGTTGCGTTGATTTTTAATATTTTTTATGTTGACAGCTTTTTGCACTTTTTTTTATTGAATTAAATATTGCGCAATACTCAGAGCTACTGTTGTGATTTTTTTTTCTATTTTTTTTTTGAGACGGCATATTTTCAGAAACTATTTTTTTTAATCAAAAAATTTGTTTGTGAAAAATTTTTCAAGAAAAAATTTTTTTTTAATATCTCTTTTCATAGAGATTTTTGATGTGTGTATGTGTGTTTTTTTCTATTTTTTCCTCGCCCCGTTCTCGAGATATTTGGAAAACTATTAAATCGATTTGTTTTTGTTTTTGTGCTGTAAAATTTTTAAGTATTTATTATTTATGTTTATGCCCCAACCCTAAAAATTTGAAACAATTCAAACATATGAAGTGTGAACACCGTTCGTTTTGGTATTGAACACCCCATATACAGTGAGGAGAAAAATGTCAAAATTGTTAATTTCTTATATGCAGTAAAACCCGCTTAAGTACCTCTCGAAAAATGTCAGCTTTTTGAGGAACTTAAACATTAACATTTAATGAAGTGTACGTAGTTAAAAACCAAGACCGTAGCATTATTTAAACATATAAACAGAAACTTAAAAAAAGTCGATAAAGCAATGTTATGTAATTTTTACAAGAATTCAATTCTTCAAAAGTCATTGGACATACCTATCAGTTCGGATCAAATTCAAAATAGATGTTGTTTGCCACTTATGCTTATTTATTAATTTTTAAGATTTTTAAATTAAAACACACTCCATTCCCTAACAAATATCTACCATACAAATCTAAGCTTAAAATTTTTTTTAGAAAACTGAAAAAAAAAATTCATCACATTTTCTTCAAAATATATCACTTTTTTCTCGGAAGTGTTTATAGCCTTCTCAATTTTAACGTAATAATTTGCAAGTTTCTAGTGGCTAAAACTTACCGTTGATTTTTTGGATTTTTTTTTTGCCGAACGTGTTGCGGGAGCACTTAAAAGGGGAAAATTATTAGTAAAATGGTAAATGGGGTACGAAAAATTTAGGTACTTAGGCGGGTTGGGCAAATAAGCGGGGAGGTACTTAAGAGAGGGATTTTCTTCAGATTAGATCAAAATATTCACGGTGCCCAAAAATGTGGGTTACTTAAGCGGGTTTCACTGTATGCATATTAAAACTTTTTCGTTGACGTTTTATTAAAATATCGTCCATAATATAGCTAAACAGCTTTGATAAAAGTTTTAAACCAAGGAAAAAATTAAGAAAAATCTTAAAATTTTCAAAATTTTTTATATGAATTTGTAAATACTTCTGAGTATGCGGTTTTATGGCCCATGAATTTAATAATAATTCTGTTATATTTTTATTAATCACGCTCACGATGCCTAACTTTCACTCATACACGCTCACGCACGCTTTTTTATGGATAGGCTTTGAAATGGAAAAAGTCGCTTTGCACGATCACAGAAGTTGCGTGATTTTTTTCTCAAAACCGCTCACGCTCACGAGTGAAAAAATGTGATACGACGTGTCACGTAGAAAATCATGTCTTTTTCCCATCTCTGCTTCGAACGAAGAAAATTATTAAAAATATATTTTAAAATCGTAATAAAGAGCTTATACCCTGCGAGTCTTAAACTATGTAGCAAAAGATCTTACAAAACATAAAGGTATTATTTGAAATTTTTACATCCGTTCCTTTAAGCTCTTACTTTTAACAATTTGCAACATTGCCACTTTCGTGTTGTAAAACGACTTTCTAATTACAAAAGCATTAATGCAATGAGATTTGCC